CAGTAGGGTGGGGTGTTAAGGCAGAACCCCCTACATGTATATAAAATGCCGTAAAGGGTCGAAAAGTCACAAAACTACAAGTCCAATGTTTGATATACATCCAGTCAAACGAAAATCCAAAAAACAACAAATAAAAGAAAGAAATACAAAGAAAAGCTGACAACTGCAGCGGGAAATATGAAAATCATAGATCATGTTCCGGGGGAGAGTCCTGGCTAGAAAGTCAGCATCACAATGTGGCGGGTGTTCCAAAAGGTAGGTCCGGCTACACAAATCTGAATGATGGGTATCCCATCTGATCCATCCGTATGATGGTGCGGAGGCGAATAGGAATATCGTCAGGGTAGAGAATGCGTCTGTGAGGGGTGGAGGACCCGATGCCAGCGAGGAAGTCAGCTAGCCGGTTCCCCTCGCGGAAGATGTGCGAAATCCGGGAGCGAAACGACTGGAGAGTGGCTCTGATGTGCATGAGAGGATGCTGGATCTGCCACGTGCCCTGATGTCCTGATGACAGCAGAATGAATACAACGGCCGCGTCCAACTCTATCCAAATGTGAGAAGAGATCGAGGCGACAATCTGTAGACCGATCTGAAGCGCCTGAACCTCTGCGTCATAGCTCGAGGAGGCGCGAAGAGGGGCATGAAACGCGGCAATAAGGGCTTTAATCTTTTGTTTTTAGGTTGTGTTTGTGTGTAGATTGTATTTTTTATGTGTTTCTCTGTGTTTTTGAGTTTTATTATCCCGTTGGGATCTTTGTATTCTCCTGTTGAGAATTTGTGTTATTGTGCGTATATTGTGGTAGTGATGTGAACCGGACTTTTTAGTGGAATCGGACCACAATGGCGTGAGAAGTTGCATTTTCATGCAAATTAGATAGGATAAATCATATTAGTTATAATTTAAATTGTTTGAATGATTAGTTGGGATAATTTGAATATTTAAATGTTTAAAATTTGAATGTTGTTTATCTATGTAGAGTTATATACAAAAATTCTATGGAACCATCAGATGGTTTTCTTATAGAGCCATCCACCACTTAATGTATTGACACGTGTCCAAATTGTATTTATCGCAGGACACGTGTCAATACACTATTGGTGAATAAGTGTGGATGACTCCATAAGTCGAGTCATCCGATGGCTCCATAGCAAAACTGGAGTTATATATAGGACCTTTGTATGCATATTTGGAACAAATTCTATGAAATAAAGTTTAAGAAAAAGGCCCGTTTCCTAATACTTTATTCGTTAAAAACTGAGGTCGATAGCACAAGTTTTTCACTTATTATTGTGTCAATCAAGGCCGTTAGTGTAAGTTTACACATTTTATCGTGTTTGAACTCAAAACATTGTGAATGCTCTTACAATAAAGAATCTTCACAAAATCCGAAATATCCCTATCCAGAAAACTAAAATAAGTTCTTGCTTTCCCATTTGATCTTTTGATGATCCTCACATACTTTCCTAAAATAATACATTCAAACATTCAAGTATTCATAATATCACATAAAATTTTATACATAACTCCGATAATAATACTAATATACTCGTGATCACAAATACCATCAACATCCCCTTGGCCAACTACTTTTTTCCTACTCAACAACCTCATCAGTCATCAACTTATTTTGGTCAGAAAAATTGCAAAATTTTAGCTGAAAACGACACTAGACCTGGCCCGGCCCGGTAATGAACCCACCGAGCATGATGGAACACACAGTAATCTCAAGCACGAGAAATACTTGCTCCAGTCAAGATTTTGTGACAAAAAACTTCTTTAACCCTTAGAACAGCTCGAACTCCAAATGCCCACCATCACCACATTCCCTGAACTTTTCATGAAACTCCGGCACCTGAGGCGGAGCCTCACACCTGATCAGCGCCCAATTCAGCCCCTCGAAAAACGGGTGCTTCTTAATCTCCGCAGCCCCAGTCTCCGCCCCCAGCCTGTTCTCAGGCTCCTTCACCAAAAGCCCGCGAATCAGATCCCGGGCCTGCAAACTCACCATCGGGCTCTCCGGAAACCTCAGACCCTTCAAAACCACATTCGCCAGCGTCTCCTCATTACACGACCCTTTAAACGGCGTCCTCCCATACAAAAGCTCGTAAAGCAAAACCCCAAACGTCCACCAATCAACCGAACTCCCGTGCCCTTCCCCCTTAATGATCTCAGGAGCCAAATACTCGTGTGTCCCGACGAACGAGTTGGATCGGGCCTCGTTGGGCTCGGCCACGAGCTGCGGCAGGGCCCGGGCCCGGCCCGCGGAGGCTTCGTCCTTGAGTTTACGGGCCCTGGCAGCGGAGGAGAGGAGGTTCGGGCCGAAGCAGGAGACTTGGCAGGAGGGCCCGGCGCAGAATGGGTCGATGCAGTCGGAGCCCGCGCAAGGGCCCGAAATGCGGGGAGGGTCGAGAGAGGGGGGCCCGGTTGACTTGATGAGGGTGGGGTTGACCGAGCAGCGGAGGGAGAGGTCGAAGTCGGTGAGCATGATGTGGCCGTCTTGGCGGACGAGGATGTTTTCGGGCTTGAGGTCTCGGTAGACGATGCCGAGCATGTGGAGGTATTCGAGGGCGAGAAGGACCTCGGCTACGTAGAATCTGCAGGNNGATGAAGCAAATGGGGAAGTGAATGAAAGTTGTATGTTATATGTTTTGAGAACGAAAATCGAACAATAGAACGCGAGGCTGCGAAAGAAATTGACAAAAAAAGGCAAGAATGCACGAATAGTTTTTGATTATGTCTTGATTTTGAGGGGTGAACTGTATGTAATATTTCTATAAATGTAAGAGGGAATTTGCAATTTTTTTCTTCAGTAGAGAAGGAGAATGTAAGAGGCTTTTGTGGCTATTGAAACTTTTATGACCTTACCCTGAATTATGTCAAAGATCAAGAGTAATTCTTGTGGTTATGCAGTAAATTAATCTACTTCTCATCACAACTCAGAAGGGATAGGTAACCCTCACAAATTAATATAGTTTTGATGACCATTAATCTACTTCTCATCACAAATCACAAATTAATTATTGTAGTTTTGATGACCATTTACAATTTCCTATACCGAACGCAACACGGAATCATACAAATCCATGCAATTCATGATCCAAAAATCACATCACAATCTCTGTAGTCACAATCCTAATTAATATTCAGGTCAAGAATCACATAGTTCTTGCATGCTAGGTCATCCTCATCAATTTGGCTTATATACTTTTAAACAAGGGACAAAATCGAGTAAAGTTTAAACATTTCACAACACAACGTAAAGCATAGAACTCAAAAACTAATCCTCCCTAGCTACCAACCATACCTTGCCGCCTGTTCATGAAAATATCTGCCAGGTTGCTTCTGTCTGAGTACATGCAAATCCCCTCCAGGACAAAACTCCATAACCAAACAGGACAAATTGTCTGAAGTAAACTGCGCATAAAGCGCCGGCAAAAAAGGATGATCAAGCATTCTAAGAATCTCCCTCTCTGTCTGAGCCCTACTCGTCTTTTTCCTTCTTGCCAAGAACTCATTATCCATAACTTTTATAGCAAACGCGCAGTTCATGCCAATTAGCTCGGCAAGATAAACAGTTCCTATATCCCCAGAGCCAAGCTTTCTCAGCAGATTAAAATGACTCAGTCCCAAGAAGCCACATTGCTTTCTTATACGATTGATTGATTCCCATTTTATGTCTTTTGACATGTGGGGCCTATTGCCCCAAGTGGACCCGTTTAAGCTGCTGCTGTCTTCACTGAGGCTTGTCGTGCTACTACTAAAATCACAAATGCTGCTTTTTGAGCTTTGTGAGAAATCCGCCTTCTCCGCAGATTTCGAGGTCGTGTTGGTTATTATTGGAGGATCATCCTTGACGGGCTCTTTATTCGTATACTCCATAGAACACTGACAATTTTGGCAGATTAATGGCGCATGATTTTGAACCGGGCTCTTGCTTTTTTCCTCATGCGGTGTTTCTGCACTTCTTCTAGCCATGGATATCGTTACTTTCTTTGGTTTCTTTATAACGAGGGTCTTGTTCTTTACAGCAGGTTTGACTGTACACGAGGCCGTTCGAGTTGACTTCACGTCTTTATTGATTTTCACAGAACTAGACGACGAGGGTACGTTCTGTAACTTCGGTTTCCGTTTTACCTTGTTCGCCGCAACTTTATTCTGACCATTTACCTTATTCGGGCTCGAAACCTTTTTCTCCGGCTTCAACACACTATTACTAGAAGAACTATCAACTTGCGGATCATGTCCATTAGTGTCGCTAAGATCATTCGGTGTTTGCTTTTCGTTAATCACTACAATCGCAGGTAAAGAACGGGGACTTTGACTTGACTCTTGAAAATCCACACGAGACACACATTCAAGACTCTTATCGCCTGATTCAGAAACCCGCTTGAAAACCGAATCTTCATTCGCCTGAACCAAATTTGACGATTTTCTGGCTTCCGAAACTCTTGGAGATGCTGGCATCGAGAGCCGTTTGACGGCAGCCATCTCGGCAGCCTGAGAAATGCACATTCCTCTCAGGGCTTGTTTTAAAGAGACGGTCTCGGAAAACCCGAAAGCCGGTGACTGAGAGCCGGCAGCTCGAATAGGCTTCTTTGATGCTTTTCTTGGCCAGTCTGAAAGATCGAGACTTTTGGATGTCCGAAGATTGATGGACTCGAATAGCTTGTTGATGTCATCTTCTAAATATTTGCTGTGCGGCTTTCTTTGGAAGGGAGGCTTTTGCTCTCTGTCTTGTGGTTTCGATGATTGAGGGCCGCAAGTGATGCTCGGATCTTTTTTCGCCTCGATTATTTCGCAGTTGCCAAGAGACAAGCTCATTGTGTATTTATAAGCGAAACAAATTGCATCAACAAATGGTCCTGGACAACAGTAAATTGGGTATCGATAAGCGAAACATATAGAAGTTTTGATAATGGATTACAAGATTTCTGTTCTGAAATGGCATTGCACCAACAAGTTGGTAGATTGAAGATTTCTCCTATCTTCCAAGGCAAGCAGATGACCAAAAAGGAAAAGGGAAAAAAGATTCTGAATTTGAACTCTGATTTTTAATTTAGGATTTAGTGATATAGCATCCCCTTATTCCACATGACATAAAGGGCAGTTGATTCCAACTAAAATCCCTAGCGTTTGTTGTAATCTATGAATAGTTTGCAATTGCAAGGTCTCAAATTATAAGCAGAACAGGCAAGTAAGTAAGTAAGTAGCAGTTTGGGCAAATCCCAGTTTTCTGAACTTGTGAGTAATTTCTGCATAATCTATTGGATAAAACATAAAATAAAGCCGACTGATATCAATCTGTAAAGCTTAGGAAACTCCGGCATCATTTCAACCTCGCAACAAAGGAAAATTACAGAGATGTTGAACACGGGGAAAGGGAACCAAAACCCAGATTTCAAGATTAACCGAACAAAAATGAAAA